CTGAATGAATTCAACCCAAATCTTCTTCCAGCCAGAGAAAAAGTTTATTAAAGATAAGTCACATATAGGCCAGGTGACGCCCATGAGGATGAGCAAGCATGAGAGTCTCAGCCTCTAGGTGTGAGAGGTTCTCAGCATCTGAATGGGGGCTAGAATGGATAAATCACATATAGGCCAGGTGATGCCGGTAAGGACGAGCGAGCATATGAGACAGTCTCAGCCTTTTGGGTGTGAGATTCTCAGCATGTGAATGCTGGCTAAGGTGGCCAGAGGAAGTGGGGAGGGGAGGTGGTTGGGAAATAATGAAGGGAACTGGAAGGTAGAAGTTTGCTTTCAAAGGGAGATAAAGAGAGTAGATAAGGAAGGGTTTTCTGGGACTGGTAGACAAACTTCTTTTTAGGGCTGGGGGCAAAGGTGCATTCGAATAAGATTAAAAGGTAAGGCTGAGGCTTTGGAAGGGAGATAAGGCAAATCTATAAGGAATCTAAAAGTAAGGTTTTTCTGGGAATCATAGACAAACTGGAACCAAGTTCTTTTTAGGGCTAGGGAGGAAGGGAAAAGGGGCAAAGGTCTCCACTTTTGAAACTGAATGAAACCCCGTCATACACACTTTAACTACTTTCCAAAACCTGTGAGTGGGGAAGGAGGATTTGGGATAGGTAAGGAGAAACACCAATATAAAAGTGCTACGCTGTTACCTCTTGAGTCTTTGCTATGTTTAGCTATGTAGCTATAAAAAAAAGTGGTATACAAATGTAATTTAATCCACTTTCCTTCCCCTCAAATATGGGTCCAAATCATTCTCTACCTGCAGTGCCTGTCCAAGATACATGAACAAATGGACTTGTTCAATCACTTGTCCGTCCAATTCCATGTTATAATCTTTGCAATAGACCTTAATTCACTTTGAGTGACTGTGCATCTCACTGAGGGCCTAAAGTGTCCCTTTCCTCCATGTCACCAGCAAATGGTTTATAAACAAGATCATTTGAAGAGCCTCGATAACCATAAATATCTCTGTCTACACAGGACATTCTCCTTGATGGGAAAGCACATATCTCTGTTGGATTCCTCACCTTATGATGCTCCTCAGTCAATTGATGAACAAAATTAACTTCTGGTTGTATCTGCCATTAGATTCTTGTATGATTTTAATATATGCACAGAAGACAACAAACCTAACTTTGCCTCCACAATGTCTATCTGTTGCTCCTCGTCTTTCCCTAGGAGCTGAGCAGGACAAGTCTATGTCCTCTTCCGAGTGACAGCTTTTCAACCCCTTGAAGGCAACAATCACTCCCAGATACTTTTAAGCCTTTCCTTCTCCAGGCTAAACATCCCCAGTCCCTTAACTTAACTTCATATAGCATGATCTTGAGACACTTCATCACCACAGTTACCCTCCATCTCCTTTAAAGCTGCATTTTGTTTAACCTTGTCAGATGCTTTTTTGTCATCCACAAAAACAAACAAAACCAGATCCAATGTTGATTACACCTCTCAGTTAATTGTGTAACTAAAGATATAACTAACATGTCTGCTAAAGAAAATGACCTATGAAAGCCTGCCTAGTCCATTCCATGTATATTTATTAAGGATACCCTCAATATTCTGCATAGATTAGTCTCATAAAGATTTTATAGAGGTAAACAAGTAAGCGTATGGACCAATAGTTACTGAAATGGTGTTCTGAGTTGCCTTTCTTTTAAAGTAACTATAATCTGTATTTGGTTTTATTCTTTTATAATTGAATTGAATCTTCCTCCAATTTGAGATAGCTTCAAAATTGATCCCTGAGGACTTTAAAAATTAGGTTTCCTCCAACATAGATTTTCTATATGTATTTGGCCAGGTGCAGCCACTCTTTTCAACTTCATTTTCTTTTTTTTTTCCCCCTTTTTAAAATATTTT